TCTTGCTCTTCCTCAGCCCGATCGCAACCACCGCACGACGCGCTCGTCATTTTTGGATCTTATCATCTCTCAACCCAAAGGTATGATTTTCATGAAAATTTTAAATTTTTAAATTTTTAAATTGTTTATTGCTGAATTTAGTTTAAAAATCTAAATTATGATAAAAAAATAAATGAGTTTGAATCTTGTAACCCTAATTGGAAAAATTTCAGTTATATATTAACCCTAACTCTACTACATTTTACCCCATTTGAACAACACTTATAATCGTAAATCTAATTAAACACTTGTGAACTATTAATCCTAATGAACACCCGATTCATGTGAAAGTATGTGACATAAATTTTTTTCAAAAAATAGAGTGATATATAACACATTATAAATTTTAATGATGTGCTATATATTCAATTTAGGTGAATGAAAAAATTACGTTGTCCCTAGACTTCCGTCCAATAATTACATCCATTTTTTTGGAGTTATAATATAAGATTAGTATTAAATATATGATAATAGTAAATATAATACAACATAATATTGAATAATGTATTATAATATCATATTGTACTTTAATGTACTATACTACATTATAATTATTACATACTATTTTCAAATAAAAATATATTTAATTGTTTTGGTATATTAATTTGTTAATGCAATATATTATATAATATTTTTAAAAAAATAATATTATTTTATTATTAATATAAAATTATATTATTACTAATAAAATATATTATTATTATTATATTATGTTATTACTAGTATATTACTTATAAATTAATATTTTTTAAATATTTCAACATCATATATTATATTATAGTTTCTAATATGTTAGAGTTTAGTAATAATTACAACATTTTATACTTATTAATATATTACATATTATTTATTAAAAAATTAATAATACTATAGTGATTATAATATTATATTATATCATTGTTATATTATTATTATTTGTTATCAATAACCTTTTTATTATTTTTTATTAATTTATTTATATTTTATTATTTTTTATTATTACATTAATTTAACTATATTAATATATAATACATTTTCAAGATATTAAATATTAGTATTTAATATGTTATTATATTATTATATAAGATATTTTAATATTAATATATTTTATATTATTTAATAAATATTACTAATATATTAGATGAACTATAATATAGTATAATATAATATAATATAATAAGCATGTTGATAATGACTATATATTAATTATATTTAATATGTTATGTTTGATATTATATTAACACCTCCTCGAACTCAATACCAAAACACTAAACTTAAAACACAAGTGTTTTAAAATAAGTGATGTGTTTTTAGTTTGAGGATGATTTAGCTCACAAAACACCATGATTTTCAAATACATGGTGTTTTATTTTTGAAAAAAACATCATGAAACAAAAAATACACTATGGTATTCAAACGAAGCCTAAATGTTACTTATTGACCTCTCGGTTATGCTATCTTTGCATCATGCAATGGCAATAGTAACGATGTACTTGAAAGGAGATTGAAAATTTTTGTTATCTGCATTGAAACTAGACTATTTCATAGAACAAGTGATAGTACATTTTGTACCATCAACTTTTAGATCTTTCCCATCCTTAGGAGTAGCAGCTTTAATCAAACTATGGATGACAAAGTTATGTGTATTATACTCTTGTTGAGGTGCAATTGTTGTGGGAAGTGTTCTGCGGTGTCCACTTGTAACCTATATCTTTAGAATGAGCAATGTTAGGTTGATGCCTTTTTCAAAAGTGAATAATGCTACAAATTTCCTTTTGTGCCATTTATGTTGGTCCTGGGACAAACAATAGAGGTTTTAAGAGGAAAACTTCACTTGTCACATGTATCATAGAATTCAAGATTACAGAGTGTAAAAATCTTGTAGATAATCCAAACATAGTGACCTTCCCTAGTGATAACTTCTCAATGTTACCTAGTCCATAGAAAATACGAATCCAACTTTGAATTCTTCATGCTCTTTAAAAAGATCCAAACTTTCATTTTCTTCATCCCACATCTTTGGTTAATTATTATATGCTCTCTTTTCCTCATTTTTCTTTATGAAAATTGAAATAATTGTTTCTCCTTTTCATAGAGACATTCTTTAAGAACCGAAAAAATGAGAGCTTTCTTATCCTTATCTTTAAATATTGACTGCTTAGTTTTTCTTGCCACGCTTATTAATGAGCAATATTACTTCAGGACAAACTTTTTACATGCATTTCAACATTAGAATTTTTGTATTTTTTCACCACATGTATGGCTAGAATCAAATGAGAACATGCTGTTAGGAAAAGCTTGGTTTTTATGTGTGAAATTAAAAGAGGGTGGATTGATATGTATGCAATAAAATTTCATGTTTTTATGTGTGAAATTAAAGAGTGAATTTCTTCAAGCTTCAGGTTTTACATTGTTTATTGTTCTAGCTCATTTATTAGTATGAACTACAGAGAACTGTTATGAACTTTTATTCTACTTTTAAACTATGGTATAGTGTGCTTGATAGACATAATAACAAAACCGTGTTTAGTAAGGTTCACCTTAATCTCTTCTAACGATGTATACTACAGTTAGCATTCCATTGTCTCGTTCCATTCCCCTTTTTTGATACAAGCTATTGCATTGCAAACACTAGTATATTTTAAAAATACATCAAAGTTACATGTTTTTTTTCTGATTAAACTTGATAGCTTTGGATATGGTTGCCTTTTAATCTGGATTGTCACTCCTCTTAATGTGATAGGTTAAAAATAATAAATGATGGAAGGGATTCAAGGATCCAACATAAACATACAATGGAACAATTTGAGAGGAGAGAGGAGAGAGGAGGATGTGATTATAATGATAGTGGTCAATTTCATAGTTGCTGCTAGCGGTTCTTGGTACTATACAAAGTACATGTTAAAGGAGAGTTCAAGAACACATGAAGAAGAGATGAAAGGGCATACCTTAGAAAGTCTTGGATTCAAACTTTTATTTGCAATGCAAATGACTATATTGAACAACGGAGTATGAATCCTCAAGCTTTTAAGACGTTATATGATGTCCTACACACTAGAGGGGGATTAATAGTATCAAGAAATGTCACAATTGATAAAATTATCACAATGTTTTTACATATTTTAGCTCATAATGTAAAAAATAGGACCAACAAAACAGATTTCATATGCATTACTTCTTAGCTTTAGCTTTTACGTTGTTGTGACTGAAAATTTTAATTTTGTAGATAAATACTTTCTCGTATATGCTGGGTATACAAATGGCATGGGGTTTTTGGCACCTTATGGAGGGGCTCGCTACCATATAGTCTTGAAGAGAACATGGTCCAAGAAACTACAAAGAGTTATTTAACCAACGTCATTCCTTTGCTAGAAACACAGTTGAGCATTCGGATTGCTAAAAAAATGATGAGCTATATTATAGACAGCTAGCTTTTATAGTGTTAAAACTCACATTAGGATCATTATTGCGTGTTGTATTCTTCACAACTTTTTACATGAAGATATGAATGAAGATGACTTGTTGCATGATGTAGATCGAGAATTAGAAGATGCTCCTATTTTAGAAATTGAGAACGTAGATGAGGAACAAATTATCACTGTGAGAGTTACGGATGAATGGAGCAACTTTAGAGATGATTTAGCTATGCAAATATGAGATGAATATCGACTTTGAGATACTTTAGCTACAAGAAAGAAATGAGGGAGTATGAAGATCTTGATATCCGGTTGTGTTCTATTTGTCTTGTTTATTTCTATGTTGTCTTCTTGTTGCTTAGGTGTTCTTATGTGGTTACTTTCATTCAGTTTGTTGCTTATTTGCTAAAGTTCTCAAGCTTGATAGTATGTTGAACATTGTTATATTTGTGACAGTTGTTATTTCAGTACGTAACCAGAGTATATTGATAATGTCTAATATTTGTTTTTTTTCTATTGTTGAGTTGGTATGCTACTTGTTTGATATATATTTGAATTTTATTTAATTTGACCAATTATAGTGTTTTTGGTGTTAGTTGTGGGAACCTTGAAGGATTTCAATTTGGTGTTGTGTGTCTTAAAGGATGTATCCTAGTTGAAGTATGGTTTATTCATAACTTAGTATTACTAAAGCAAACTTTTTAGAATTTGTTAATAAATCTCAAGTTAAAGTTTATTGTTCACAGGTTTTGCTGCTAGTAGTGTCTATTTTCCTTAATAATTTGCTATTTACATTCAATTTGATGCTTTTATATGATTATTATGTAGGTGCTAAGAGCAAACATTTGTTATTTCAAGCTTCCACCTTCATGAAACTGGTCTCAACTCTCAAGTCCTATGACTGGCAATATCTTAAAGGTAAGTTGCCATTTTATTTTGGTTAATACAAGTTTCTGTTTGGTACTTTTGGATATTGTTGCTTCTTCAGATTTCTTGTTAGGATTTGTTTTTTTTTTTGGATGCAAGCTTTATCAAATAAGATTGCTAGGTTGTTTCTTCAAATCATATTGTAGTTCTATTGTTGCTGATAGACCCCCTAAGTGAAATTTTTTCCTAACTCTTTTACCCTCAGAGAAAGAGAGAATTGTTCTCCCAGATAAAATAACTTTTTGACAAATAGACCTCCTGAGGGTTTTAAAAAAATTCACACAGTTTGCAATGGGTATGATGTTCGATAGATTATTCATAAACCATAATCACGTTGATATTATTGGATTATTATTATAAAGAAACTCATTTTAAGGATCCTAATATTGTATTAAAGAGTTAAGAACACTTTTTCATGTTACGTCATTCATAAATAAATAAACGTCATCTGGAACGAAATTAATTTAATTGCAATAATATTTGGTCATTTACCTTCCATATTATTTTCCTAACTTTATTTGGACAATAATTAAACTACAGAAAGCTTCTAGCCTTATTGGGCTTATTATTCTTAATGGGCTAGATTTTCAGCTACGCGGCCCACTAAACATTAAGATCTAGTCCACCACTGTGATTGCTCCAGAGCTAAAGAAAATTGCTGTCAGTTGTGCACAAACGGCGTTCAATGTCGTCGTCATCAGCGGCGGACCTCCTCCCTCGAAAGGAGGCAAACGTTCTAAAAGGCCACGAAGGAGCCGTCCTCGCCGTTAGATTTAATGGCGACGGAAACTACTGCCTGAGCTGCGGCAAGGACCGAACCCTTCGCCTCTGGAACCCTCACCGTGGTATCCACATCAAGACCTACAAGTCTCATGGGCGTGAAGTCCGCGATGTCCACGTCACCTCGTATGTCTTTTTGCCATAAAACCCTAATTTGATGGTTTTTTTAATGATTTTTTGATAAAAATTTGATTTTATGATTAGGGATAACACAAAGCTGTGTTCTTGCGGTGGAGATCGGCAGTTGTTCTATTGGGATGTTTCGACGGGGAGGGTTATTCGTAAATTTCGTGGACACGATAGTGAGGTTTGATTGCGCATTTTAGCTTTTTTTCCCTCATAAAATTTTTTATTTCTTTGATTTAATATTGATAGATGAATTGATGAGTTTGTAGGTCAATTTTTTGTTTAGTTTTTCACCTTGTTTGGATGAATCTTAATGGATGGAAGTTAAAATGAAATTTCAATTTCACCTTGTTTGGGAGTTTTTTTAGGGTTAGACGATGGAATGGAAGGTTAAATTTCCTTCCATTTTCCTCCCCTGCAATTTGGGGGGCAGAGGATGGAATGGAAACCAATGTAAAATTTTACAATGTAATAAGACAATTATATCCTTATGACATTAAACTCTATGGCTAAGATATACTCACATCCAATATGTAAGGGTACTTATGTAACATTATACATATCCACTTCACTTCCCTCCTCTTTATTAGAACTCCCAAACAAGGTAAAACAAATTTACTTCCCTTCCCCTTACTAAATTCCCAAACACCATTTTATCTTTTCACTTCCATTCCCTACATTTCCTTTCCATTATTTAACTTTCTATCTCTTCCCTTAGTAAACTCCCAAACAAAGCATTTGTTTCTGTTTTTATTGTTAATTTCATTGCATTAAGATGAGGATGATCCATCACAGGGTTCCTAATTTCTTGTAAACAAAATGACTCGATCTAGCTCCGGTAGATATCATGAGCTAAAAAATGAAGCTCAAACTCAATGTTGCTTCGCTCTCTCAATTTGTCTATACAGAAGAGCTTTAGACTTAATACTTGGTAAACTCACAGCAACTTGTTGGCTCGTTCGAGCATATTTTCAACCCTAAAAGACAGTGTAGATATCATAAACACTGGTTCATGGTCGGGGAGCTGTGTCTTTAATTAATTTTCGGTTGAATAGGACTTTGAAGGCCTCATACAAACTTGTAGTTTGTATTCATCCCTCCATCCCAATTTATTGTCATATCTATATATATTGGTTACTCTTTGCTCTTGGTAAAACTTAAGCGCGAACTTTTCTCAAAATATGGTATAATATGAATGGTTCAAGACTTGTTAAGAAAAGTAATGTAAATAATAAGTTCAAAAGGATTTCTCTCTGTCTTTAATTTCCATATGTTCCTTTTAGTTTCTACTACCTAACATTCTAAGCTTAAGCCTGAACCAGATTTCCTTGTATAGTTTGTTTCACGTCAAAATTTTTTTCTACCCTCTTGTTTAGGTGAATTCTGTTAAGTTCAATGAGTACGGATCCGTGGTAGTATCTGCTGGATATGATCAGTCAGTCCGTGCGTGGGATTGTAGATCTCAAAGTGCAGAGCCAATTCAGGTTAACTTTTTCCTCCTAAATTCTATTATTTCTCCAGAATTTTACAGATTGACTTGATAATAACTTAAAAGCTTGTGGTTGTGTTATTAGATCATCAATACATTTTCAGACAGTGTGATGTCTGTTTGCTTGACAAAGACCGAAATTATTGCTGGGAGTGTTGATGGTACAGTTCGCACCTTTGACATTCGAATGGGAAGGTGGGTTATTTGTATGCTGACTTGTTTCAATGAATTCAAACTTAAATAGAGGACAAATCTTGTTCTAATAGTTTCTTTCTCCTTTTTTTATACTAGAGAAACGGTTGATCATTTGGGTCAGCCTGTCAATTGTATCTCATTATCGAATGATGCGAACTGTGTGTTAGCTAGTTGCTTAGATTCTACTCTACGCCTTTTAGACAGGTACATTCAGTAACTCGACTGTTGCTAATTTGAGGTGCCTTTTATAAAAGTTTCCATTAAGATTTACTCATTGCAGATCTACTGGAGAACTTTTGCAAGAGTACAAAGGGCATACTTGCAAGGTATGAATCTGTCATATCCATAGTTTGCTGATGAGTTGTTTGTTCATGTATTCTTAGTACTGTCTCTGTTCACCCCTGCAGTCTTTCAAGATGGATTGCTGCTTGACAAATACTGATGCTCATATTACCAGTGGATCAGAAGATGGCTATATTTACTTCTGGGATTTAGTAGATGCCTCAGTTGTTTCAAGATTCCGAGCACATGCCTCTGTGGTAAATTTTTAATACGAGATTTCCCAGATAGTGTGGTGTTCTTATTACCTATGCCTGACTTTCTTATGTTCCATATATTTATATCACTTAACGGGTTGTCAGTTAAGATGATGGTTTAGTTCTGAAGTTCAGACGTTAGCATGCACAACAATATATATTTACTGAAAAAGAGTTGGAAATATTCTTTAGTGCGCTACTTAATGAAAATAATATGAAAAATTGTTGCTTTTCACTTCTGGTTAAAAGTTAAAAGGTTACTTGCAGATAGACCGCCTTATACTATCACCCAATTGCAGGCTGTGTGAATTTTTTTTTACCCTCAGGTCTACTTGTCGAAAAAATAATTTTCGCTGGAGAACAATGTTCTCTTTCTCTGAGGGTAAAAGAGGCAGAAAAAAATTTCACTCAGGGGCCTATCTGCAACAATAGAACTACAGGGCGTCTATCTATCAGCACTGGATGATAGTATAGCGAGTCTATCCGCAATTAAATCAAAGTTAAGAAAACCCTTTTGATATTGTTATTGCGCTGTTCACTGTATCCTGAACTCCGGATGGTGTTTTCTAGCTGATTATGCTAAAGCTTAGAAATATAAAATATGCAAAGGGTTCTAATGAACGTAGCACGCATATATGTTCAATATCCAAATGCTTGAATTCTCTATTTTATGCGGTGCACAAGCCTGTAGATACTTCAAAAAGAAATTGATGTACCAATGATTTGGAACAACTATTCCTTACGTTCAGCATAGATTTCTGAGATATTTTACCATGATACCTATGACCAAATAATTATTAACTAGTATCGATGTCTTTATTATTGACAGGTGACAAGTGTAAGTTACCACCCAAAGGATTGCTGTATGGTAACATCCTCTGTGGATGGCACCATTCGTGTTTGGAAAACATGAGCCGAAGTAACTCGCAACTATGCCATGTCAATTGCTAGGAATGGGAGAAAGATGAGCTATATTTGACTCAGAAGATCATCCCAAAATTACAGAGTTCATATTTTGATAAGCCAATCATGATTTGTATCCTCGTGTTCTTATTTTCAAACTAGTTGTATTGGGGAAAACCCCATACTTGGTTGGTGGTGTTGTACAGCGTCGATGATCCCTTTCTTCGTTATAAGCTTGTCTGGTATGGATCTGAAACTTTGAAGACAAATACGAAAGTTGATTATAACTTTAAATAGCATAGCTTTCAGGGAGTATGGTAGATATTTCAAGCAGGTGATCTGATTTCATCATGCTCTTTGACATATTCAAGTTCTGGTGTATGGCTCTGATTATTTGTTACTGTGTAAGATTTGTTGCTCTCCAAATCGATAGCGAAATCTTATTTCAGACGTAGATTTTGTTTACCTGCGTATAGTACAGAATAGCCTCTAGAAACTTTATTTGGATATATGACACAGAAGCAGTTACTTCTTTACAGGCATAAAAATTTCTTTTGAGTATAAGATTCAGCATTCAAATTGTGATTTCAGCTAACCTCAAAATAAGATGGTGTTACGTCAACAACGCGGATTTATGACCATAAAAGTAATGCTATAATTTTCCATATTAGAAACAGCACATGCATAATTACATCCTATCCGTATCAATATGTAAAACACGATCCACAGATAACTAGCACACAGCGTGCACCTGTGCAGCATGTGTTTCCTTTGCTAATGAAATTGTCTTGGTATTATTAACTATGCTAAAACTTCCCTTTACTACTGTAGGAAAATTCCAGGCAGAGGTGTTTCCTTTGCTAATTCTATGAGGTGTTCTCTAGACTCGTTCCCTTTCAAATATCTGAGTCTCCCTCTTAAGCTTGGCTCTCTTTCTAAAAGAGAATGACAACCCCTTCTTGATTCTTTTTTCTCATAAGCTTTCACTTTGGAAAAGTAAACATCTGTCTATTGGAGGTCGACTTATTTTGGTCAATATAGTTTTTTCCTCTTTACCCCCTCTATTACATGTCATTCTTCAAATTACCTGGCTGGGTTATTAAATCTATTGATAGATTGCGTCGTAATTTCCTTTGGGGAGGGTCATCTTTGATTAGTAAAGTCAAAGCTTTGGTGAAATGGTCCTCGGTCTGCAAATCCAAAAAAGAAGGGGGTTTAGGTGTCCTTAATTTAGTTAACTTCAATTTTGCTCTTTTATCAATGTGGGTGTGGAAAGTTTTAAGCCATGATTCTTTTGTTGGTAATACCATTTCCATTCTATATAGTCTTCATAATTATCCTCTCTCTAGTAAACCTACCTCTAGATTAATCTCTAACTTTTGGCATGATGCGTTCTTTGTTAGCTTGGCCTTGAGGAGTATGGTTAGATGGAACTTGGGTGAAGGAACTAGAATCAGATTTTGGGAAGACAAATGGTTAGGAAATTTCATTCTAGCTAGTCGATTCCCTGGGGCATATAATCTTGTTCTTTCTTGTAATGTTCTTGTGGCTTCCCGAGGCATGATGAGGGGAAACTTTTGGATTTGGAAACCTATCCTCAAGAGAGCTATCTCTACTCCTGAAAATCACCAAGTTGATGCTATGCTTGAGCTCCTATCGACTGCTCCTTCTATATCTGATGCTTCATATTCACCTTCTTGGCCTTTTACCAAGAGTAACACTTTCTCCATTAAATCTCTCTACTGCCTTCTCAGTTTTGGTGGTATTAATTATGATTTATATTAGTTTATTTGGGGTTCATACATTCCTCTTAAAGTTAAGATTTTCCTTTGGTTGTTATCCAAGAACAAACTCCATACTAAGGACAATTTCATCAAGAAAGGTTGGATAGGGGGATCACTTATGTCATGTCTGTCATGAAGTTGAGGAATCAGCAGATCATCTTTTTATTGAGTGTCAATATGCTCGTGATATTTGGAAATACTTTCTGCCTTCACTGGAAATTAATTATTTTCAATATGATCTTTTTCATATGTTGAAAACTAAAGGACAGTTTATCAACGGTAAGAATTGTTGTGTGCTCTAGTCTATCCTCTGGTCTACATTATGCTGGTGTTTATGGAGAGAACGAAACAATAAGGTCTTTAATGGTGAGATTAGAGATCCTTCCAAGGTGGCGTCTAATGTGGCCTATTTTCGGTTGTTCTAAACAAGTAGTTCATGACATAAGAAGGCTGCAAAGTTGAAATCCATTATTCAAGATAAGAAGGTCAACGAGCTTCAGAGTAGTAGCGAGGGTAGTGGCTGATTATTTTCAGCTTCTATTTGTTTTAGTATTTTGAACAACTACTTTGTCTTTATGATTAATTGTAAGCAGTTTTGTTGTGTATGCTGATTGTTTATCAGCAGACTGGTATTGTATCTGTGTCCTGATACTTTGATACTTTATACCATTTGTTTAGATTTTGAGTTTTAGAATGATGGATGTGGTGACGACTATGATCCTCCCCTTCTTTCTTTCTATTGTTCATCATATTACTTCTAGTATTCTCCTATATATATATATATGGTTCTATAATATAAATCTTTTGAAATAGGGCATCCTGCCCTATTTATACTTCAAAAAAAAAATATTTAACATGGGTTGTGCTTGTATAAAAAGCTCAAGTCATTTATCAATCTTAAATTAACTTCTTGATCTCCATGATTTGCCTTACCCGATCATCTAAGATTTGAAGATTGACAATACGTCCAATCAATTCTATCATCGCATTTGTAAATATTCCTGAGCTACATCACATTCTCTCATCTTCTAAATCTGCTATACTGATCAATGGCTCCCCTTCTAATTTTTTTCCATTGCCACAGAGGATTGAAACCCCTTGTTATGGACTTGCTCGACAAAATGATCAACAACAGCGTAGCCTCAGTGGACATATGTGA